CGTGCAGTGTGGACACGTGAACACATCGCATGCGGACGGGCCGTCGGCCTTCAGGAGTGGGGTAACCTCTGCCTCATCGCCTCGCTCTCCATACCTTGCTGGCACAAAGCTATGGTGCAGCCTCCTGCAACAGGCACTGAGCCCTGCGCATGATTTCTTGAATATAGGAAGGCCTGTCGTGTCAACAGGCAAGACTTGATTTTGGGGGTATGGAGAGTGCCACGACCACTTGCGCTCATTCGGAGCATCAACTCTATGCTGACAGCTGCCCTCTTCATAAGCTCGTGCCACGGCAAACAGGCACGGCCTGCCTGCCAGCGCCGGGGCTGGTCAGGCAAGGGTTTCACTAGCAGAAGTTTTCAGAGCCCAAGGGCTGAAGGCATCGTGATGCTCCCCAAAACCTGTAGCGGGCCCGTCATCGCCTCCGTGGCCGCACACCACTTAGTGCAACTAATTATCGGTGACTTGGCTCAAGCACACCTTTAATATTTTAATGCATACTTAAAGACTACGGAGGAAGATGCTTCCGCCGACTCGCGGGAATCTGCACTTAGAACTCCCACACAATCATTTTCCTGTTGCCACGAGAGCAGCCAGTCTTTGTACACGAGAGGCTCTCCCTCATGCAACAAGTTGGAGCCATGCACAAAACAGCCGCGTGGACTGCTGCGACTGCTGGTATGGCTACGGCCAAAGCGTCCTCTTCAGGCGTACCTGCGACGATGATGTTGCCTTCCCAGCAGTCGATAGCCCCACGTAAGAACAGCATAGTCAAGATAACAAATGGGTTCGACCGGCAAGCAGTTTCTGCTCGCTCAATCCGCCAGGGCCTCTCAACATCAATCGTTTGTGATCGTTTGTGTTCCTAAGCCAATACGGAAATGGCATGGCAAAACTCTAGGGCATACGCTAGAAGTCGATGATCAAGTTTGGGTTCCAATTATGAGAATCGGATTCGAAGTCTGTCGTGGGAAGGGTTCACCCAGGAACCCCACAACTTGTAGACGGTTGTGCTGCAAAATGTGTCTCGCTATGTTGAGAGGCCATGGGACATGTGCTTCCGTCTCTATTTGTTTAGGACGACATCTGTGCGCGACTCCCCCACAAAAAGCAGAAGCCCGCAGCATGAGGCACGAAAGGCAAAGTCCCAAGAAGCTGACGAAACATCAACAAATAAAGTATCGATGCGGGTGAGCCATGTACATGTTAGACTTCGCCAGATACTGCATCTCACGCGGGATCAAAGGGGTTGTCGTCATAACACTTGCTGTTCCAGCTTGTTTGCGCTGGCCTCGGCTCGTTGGCATGGGTCCTGCAGCCTTAAGGACGGACATCTGCAGGTGACCGTTTCGTGAGACCTACGATCTGTTTAGAGGCTGCAGTGCTCAGGCAACGCTTGCCGAGGGCTGAGAAGGACAGGAGTCAGAGGCCTTCACAGATGGGGCCGGCTGCCCCAATCAGCAACTTCCGTGCCCTTGCCCTGCCGTCGCCGCGGAAACAAGCTCCCCAAGTGCCATGAGCAGGCACCACCCTGTTTGCAGTTGTAGAACCAAGCCAAGGACTGTCATGGACAAGTATGCCGAGTGGTGAGGTAGGGGAACGCTACACGACAGCAGCTAACCACCTGCATCATGAAACGGGAGGGAACTTCACAGAATGAACTCGGTAAATCTGCATAGCTGTCAAGCAGTTTGTGTCCTTCGCTCCTTGGAGAGGCGCACGGCTCTCAAAATGCAGGCTCCCAAGCTCAATGCTTGCCGGACCTTAGGCTGGATTGCTCTGCGACCAAAGTTCGGACCAACCAGAAGATGCTGGACTGTACGGACCGATGTTTGTTCATTGCCTTTCAACCTCTGCAGAATAGGACAAAAACCTCCCGCACGTAATGCTTCCGCAGCCTTCTGCGGTAGACGCGATGGCATGCAATGCTTGTTGTCCCTCCCGCGTGCCCTCCCGCGGACCGTTGTACAAGCGACCCCTTCCGCAGGAGCAAGAAACACCCTCACATACGATGTTAACCTTGTGCGAGTGCTCAACAAATGGCGCTTACGTAGTTTGGCTGGCTAAAGATGGGTCAAGCACATGTCTCGAAATCGATGTAGTGCGTCTCGAAAATGCACATGCTTACTTAACTTCTTTGTTGCCACCGCCTTCTTCGGGCCTTCCCGAGACCAGTCCCGGAGATTTCCTAGATGCTAGATGGAGTGAAAGACTCATGTACAGTTCTGGTCTTCCCTGAAGGGAAAGCAAAAACAGCTGCTCATGCAGAGGAAAGTCGTTACATTGTTACATCATACAAAGGCGTCGTGAAAATTCCTTAACTCATCATAAGAATCCTACAAAGGAGCTGGCTCTCTGGGTCCCTCCCACGCTCTCTCGCTCCTTCCGTCTCTTTCTCCGTCTTGTTGCGGTAAAAAACCCCTGCATGGTAGGCCACACACGTTGAGTGAGATTTCACTTCGCATTTGGGCGCAGTGCCAATGCTTCCATCCTCAAGTGCATGGACATCAAACTCGATTCAGCGCAGCTACCGGCACTCTCGCCGGGCCAACAATTGTTTGTCGGCCGCATGCTCTGCTGCGGACCAGCCGTGTTGCCATGCACTTCTCCACATTTTTCTTCAGCGCATTCACTGCCTGAGGCAAGGTACGCAAGGTCGCCAATGGAAGGAACGGCAGCCATGCGCAACCTGGACTACTGGCACTTACGTGCAATTCTCAGCTTCACGCTTGAGTGTCATCATAATTGGAAAACCACACCTGTCAAACTCTTCGTCACGCGCTTTTTGCACCTTTTTGTCCGAGGCCTCGAGTCGGATGACACCTGCGGCCCTGGGCCCGGAGAGTTTGTCCACCTCGGTGAGAAGGCGATGGTGGCTGCACAACCAGAGCCACGCAGAATCTCATGAACATAGGTAGCACTGTGCTACGGGAACTCGTAAGGCAACAGTCTCATGTATTTACCTGTTGCGCTTCTGAGATTCCACTTGGCATCACCTGGTCTCGAACTGGATCAGGCCTATATACTCTTGGGCCACTGGGTATGGGGGATCGAACTGGGCCAGCAGCCAATCGCAGCCCAGTGATCATATTGGCAGGCTCGATCGTAGCCCCGATCATGCCCAGGACAAGGTTGTTCCTCGGAGATTCAACAGAGCAGAGGCTCCACAGCGCGGACAAGGCTCGGCGATGAGTTGCCGGCCAATACTCATCCACCTGCCGATATTGAAATTCAAGTCTTGTTAAGGCTTTTGCAGACTAAATTGCAGAGCCCATGTAACGTAATCCAGCACAAGGACTGCCTGACCACCACCAATTTGCGGCTTCAGTTGGAACTGGAAATGTCCTCCTGCTGCATTCGTCTTGTCCTTCCAGTCTTGGGCTTGCTGCAACTACTGCCTGCTGCATGTCGCCTTGACACAGCAGATGAGAAAGGAAGCCCGATGGAAATCCCAGAGCTCCCTAGAAACCGTCCTCCCATTCAGGTCGAATGTTTTCTCGAAAAATCATCACCGCATCGATGACATGCAGCCTTGCATTGGAATGAGCGGCATTGTGCGTCGCAGTCTTGGAGTCTTAGTCTGTGCCAACCACACACAGAACCTTCCGTGAGTCTAAGCACGGCTACATGGACGACCTGGGACCCTAAACCCTAACACCCCTTAACCTGGGTGTTCAGACCCATCTGGCTGCTCGCGAACCATCCGCTTCTGCTCCAGGAGCTCCGATGGCTGCGGCCTCGTTAAAAGCACAGAGAAAAAGGCTCCTCGTCTGTGATTGGCAAAGCACATCCGTAAGCCACAGGCATGTGATTCCACAACTTCCAGAAGGTCTGGACCTGGAAATGCCCGGCTGCAAAGTGTAGCATTTGCAGAACATCCCACAACCTCTAACAATCACGCTGCTCAGGCCCCTTAAGGCCGTTCGAAAATGGCCCAGGATCTGCAACGAATTGAATCACAGGGTCCCGTACCGTCGCGAAGCTGGCCACCTCGTAACTGCTGCCACCGATGCTAAACACATCTCACGGCTTTTCGCACATTGCCCTATCTAGAGTAAATAGACTACTGTCGACCGCTCCGGACACAGAGACAGCACATGCTGGCCTTGTGGGTGGCATCGGAGTACGCAGAGGTTTTGTCCGTGGACTGCATGATCCTTGCATGTAGCGGTTCGACCACAAAAGAATCGTCACCAGCATGCGTTGCTTGATCTGCCACAAGGGTATGTTGCCAAGACTCTGCTCCCAGATTGACCAAGTGTACCGCAAAGGCAAATCCTCGAGATGTCAATTGCACCAGAGCATGCGAAACACCCATGCAAATCGACCCATTCATGCCTTCTTGAGCATGTCGTCATTCTCATCAGTCCCATCTGTGGTGAACTTCAGATTTGTGTTGAAGCCTTGCCGAGTCATGGTCACGGTCCGTCATGATACGAGTGTTTCCCGAACGCGGGCTGTCCTCATTGTCTAGTGGCTTCTCGCTTTGCCAAAAGAGCATGCTCCGATGAGATCCCAACGTTTCGCTTGATGCTCAAAAACGAAACACATGTAAACATGGCAAGCACAGGCTGCAGCTGCAAAATTCAACTGGGGCCACCTGGCTCACTTCCATGCTGGGGCCAACGCTTTCGTTGAAGCTCAAATATGCCATACCTGCCCAAGCGAGCACATACTAGTAGCAACAAGGCCCCTCACTTCTGCAGGCAGGCGCACACTGATGTCTTGGCTTGTTTTCCTATAGCTCGGAACCAACCATTGCACATGAGCACCAGCAAGTTCAGCACGCTCAGCTCTGTGAGGCTGCATACACTGCGAGCGGAGCTGTTGCAGTTGAGGATGCAATCGTGTCTCCGTAACGAAATCCAAGCTTGAGGTAACTCCATCTAAATCACGTGCACGACCATCAACTTCCAATCCCATCTTCTAGCTCGTGCACATCTCGGGCGGATTTCCAGAAAAAGGCAGGCCTGGCAACACCCAGCACCGAGCGGAAAGGATCACCGTCCAGTCTCAACGGCCCCTTTGTGAGACATTGCCGATAGTTCATGAGCCAACATTCCTTGCAACACTAGAGGCATCTTCACCTGACTCAGGCTCACGGGAGGCCCGTGTGCAGTGGACATCGAGCTGGCGAAACGCTGACGGACAAGCCGGAATGCACCTCTCGGTGCGCGGTGCAAGACAGGCACTCCCAGGCGACCCGCCTCACGAAGGGCCGTGTAGCCTTCGCTTTCTGATCGCAGTGCTGCATCCCAATCGAGCACATCCCTTTGCGAGACTTCTTGGCCCAAGTCTTCTTCAATGCAGAGCTGCAGCGAACGCTGCGAGAATGCATTTTCCTGGAGCTGCAGGAGTACGGCTGCACGAACCTTTTCTGCTATAGCCGTCTTTGCTAGTGAGCGCGTGAAGACGAAGTCCTGAGCACAAGCACTTTCATCACTGCGCCAGCAGGGTTGAAGGCAATGCGATTCAAACTCGGAAGCAGTATCGGAAGAGTGACCAATCTAATCACTATAATTATAGTTTATAATTATACTATAATTCAGCTGAGGCTGGCGACCGGAAGCTGACCATCTGGCAAGGGGAGGTACTTGCCAGTACGACCCTCCAGTGAGACCAGAGGCATCTGACCCAGCTTGCCTGGCAGTCAGCCAGGTTTCTTGGCTTTTGTTGCCACGGAGATTCTACGAGGCCTAGCAGTTTAGCAAATGCTAACCAGCTCGGCAAGTTACCGACCACTCTCACCACATCGCCCATCCTGTAGCGGCAGAGGCCGCCACGGGTTGTCACCAGAATCTCGTAAGCATGCCCGACCTCAACCTCCCATGCCCGCAGGGTTGCGTGTTCGTGGGCATTGTTGGATCCGGCTTCTCGCAACTGCAGGAACTCGAATACCATGCTGCCTGCATCCAATAGGTATTCGGGCACCCCGTCTTGGGAAGGACAAATGTTAACTCCCAGCAGCCCTTCCGTTGAGGCGTAGAACGGCGAGTAAATCGGAACTCCGCACAGCAGTCGTCTCAACCTCACCGTAGCTGCTTCGAAGTTGCCTCCTGTGACTGTTATCACCAGCTTCATCCGGGGCCAGAGCAGGGGCACAGAGAAAGCCCGTCCAAGAAGCTCTCGGACTTCGTTTGCTCTGCTTGGATCTGGACCTCCCAAAGCTGTATTCAGCGCAGCCTCGGCTGCCTCCGTCTCGGGATCCTCCGGCCTCTCGTAGCTCCAAATCCTTCCTGCCTCTATGTCAGATGCCAAGCTCCAGCCATGGTCTTGTATGAAGTCCAGAAGATCACAGATGTTCGTTGCGAAATTTGCTTCCAACGTGCCCAGATTACGATCCTTCAGAGCAAACAAAGCATGGGCATACATGGCATCAGCTTCATTCATGATGTCGTAGGCCGCCCGGGGGCTGGAGTATGCGCAGAGCAAGCGGTCAAAGTTTCTACCTCGGTGCAGCACGCTGCGTGGAGGTGGGAGCGTGACCGGGCGGGCCGCAAGATCCCTCTCGGCTTCTCTGAATCTCGCCTGGGTGCTGTCGGGTGCCCGCTTGCAGCCGACAGCCAAGCCAGACTCCAAGTGGTGGATGCTTGCTCTGAATGCCAGCTTCAGATTGTGCTGCAGGCTCGCAGACCTGAAGAGCAGAATCGATCAACCGAGACAAGCAGAATCAGCAAACCTATGGCCGGACTAACTCTGTGCCAGTCTACGAATGCCCCGAACTCCGAGCAGGAGACTTGCACACTTCCTGTCTACGTCACGTCTCCCAAGTTCTCCGAGACACATCTCTGGGAAGCTTTTGTAAATGACCGCCAGAGCCACGCTGCCGCCGCGACCTTGGAGACGCAGCGCATACCGGAGCCACAGTTCACGAGTGCGCCTCGAAGCAAAAACAAGTCCTTCTCTGGCCGAAGAAGCGGGCAAAAGTCTGGCCAATATCCGGCACGTCTGGCAGAAGCTTTGGAGCACCAGCCGTTGCCTCAACACGCCACATATTCACGAAGCCTTCAACCCTATACCCTATGCAGCCTCTCGCCTGTGCGGATCCGGGAAACAAGCAATCAATCTGCTGCCATCACAGTAAGAACTACTTTGCCTAAGGATGCAATCTCGCCTGCCCTCCCCCACTGCCACAGAATACAGTCTGCTCAAGTCGGAAAAAAGTGTCGGAAGTCATAGCCAGCAAACGTGGCCGGCCTGCAGCCAGGATGTTGGCTTCACCAGCTTGAATACGCGAGATATACGGCTCGTAGTGCGAGAAGTTGGTGATAGGGTGCTGACGGCGGAAGGAGTCCCAGCAGCTGACGTTCTGCAGACCTTCCGCCCCACCGTACTCGGTCGACTGATGCCTGAGCAGCAGTTTCTGCAGCAACCGTGTCTGGACTGCCGCACCGTCCGCAGAATCAGAGAGCAGCTGTTGCTGCTGCAGCAGCCCACGGCATCTCAACGATGTGAAAAGCACCTTGTCATACTCACAGGATGGCTGGGCTCTGGGTTATATGGCACAGCTTAGTTCAGGCAACAAAACCTTCGCAATAGCGATCTGCATCCAGCAAAGCAACGTGTTGCTGCACCGCTGTTAGCCAGGTGTGCCGTTCTGACCACTCTTTCGATCGCACCTGCCACAATGTAACACCTGTCGCCATTGAAGCCACAGCGGCTGCATTTCTCCAGCCCTCCATGTGAACTGAGCATGGTCAGCTAGCCTTGACATGCAAGTAAGGCTTGATGCAGAATCTGCTCCAGTTCACAACAAACAACTTCTGCAAGTCCCCCGGTGTAGGGCCTAGCAAACAAGACCTATGTCGGAGCTCCCTAGTAATTTTCTCAAACGGCTAGCAATCAGACGCAGGACCTACCATGGCATTGAGCAGCCTCAAGCTGCGAGCCACATGCGTTGCCCAAGAATTGGTCTTGGCTGTGAAAATCCAGCAGCTGCCCAACTTTTGGTTGGGCCCTGGAGAATGCCACCGTCTCGCGACGCAAATAAACTGGCTGGCATCCTCACCGCTACTGGCTCATTCCGCCCGGCATCAAACAGCAAGCAGAAAGTGTGTTGTGGCCAGGTTTGTCCCGGACTCTGTCAACCCACTCATTGTCGAAGTGACAAGTAGGCCTTAAGACTCGCCTGAGTAGCCCCCCTGCAGCGATGCATATTGAAAACTGACCAGGCAGCACTCGAACGAGTTTACAGTCTCTCAAAGAGCTCAACTCCTGAGCTCCTTAAGGAATGAGCCGGCTCAGGAGATTGCAGATGTTTGGTGGGACAGCAATGTATTAAATTTAGAGAAGCACGTAAAGTGGTCAAAGGAAACACCTGATTCCCCCGACGTGATTTGCCGGCAGGACGATTATCCTGCCAGATCATGAGTGAAACGTATCGGCTGTGTGCCCGCAGTGTAATCCGTAGAAGGAAGACGGAAGCAATAGCTTCTTTTCGGCATCAGTACCTGCAAATACCTTACAGAAGCGCTAAAGCTAAAGTTCCGTCACAGCGCGTACACATTGAGCACTGGCACCCTGCTCATCATGGGTCTGGCATGTTGGCCTCAGGATGATGTGCTTTGGATACTAGAGTTACTAGATTGGATGGACTACAATACAACTGAACTCTGAAACTTGCGCAGTCATGCTTTTCCGAATTTTCTTGCGACAAATCGATATCTCTAAGCTTAGTGTCGTCATCCACTTTAGCAGCCAGGTCATCGTTGATCCTCTTGAGCTCCTGCACAAGCAATGTCGAATGTGTGGCTGAATGTCGCTGCACCCTGTGTGCCGCGGCTTCTCGAGCTCAATGAGACTGGCGCCTCCATCTCACGCGTCAGCCGATCGACGGTCGAACGCAGGGATTGACTCTCCTCCCTCATCCTGCCAACTTGAGCCTGGCACTGCATGCACTGCTCTGCCACTGCACGGCATTCGCACAGAAAGGTTCCGTCGCTCGGCCTGCAGGCCGGGCAGATCTCCTTCCCGTGGAAGCATCGCGAGTGCCTGCTCCTCGGTCCTTGGGTCGTAAAGTGAGCTCATGACTATGACTACGACTGAGGAGAGAAGCCTAGCCGAGACTCATTTCTGGCTGTTGCTGTTGCAGGGCGGCAGCTGCCTGGCAGGCGTTGTTGGGCAGTCTTGGCAGGGTGTTGCCTCGCTCGCGGATGCTTTCGAGATCTGCCGAACTTTTATTCGTCAGAGTCATGAACCGGCAAAGCTCACATTCAGGATACTGCCACGGATTCCATCTTTGACAAGCCTATCAGCAAGCCCAACATCGTCAAGACCCCAACCCTCAAGCAATTAAGCTCAGTTTGCAACTCGACACATATCCCTGCGTCAACCTGATTGGTTTTGTGCCATGTCGGGCCAGAAGGCAAAGATGACATTCAAGACGACTGTCCAAAACAGCAAACTCTTCCAGAACAGCTAGACGCTCCAACGTGAATCAAACACAAAGGGAAGGCCTGGGCCGAAAAGAAACCATCTCTCCTGCGAGAGCTCGAAAAGATCCGGACCACCCCCGCCCCCGCCCGAGGCATCTGGGGCCCGATTCCCGACCACACCCTGTGGCACAGTGGCCCATCGCGAATCAAGCAAATTTGGACTGCCATCTCGCACCCAACTTCAACAAAGCTGGTGACAAAGACGAACTACAGATGAGCTAACAGCTACTGCCTTAGCACAGCACTTGCAAGAAGGGCCCCACGAACAATCCACTACTTGTGAAGTGTTCAACGCCGGCCTGTCGTCGATGCGGGCTTCCGGCCTGGAAAGATGCGACAGGCTGTTCTGAGAGCGTTACACTCGCTCATCTCAGCTGCAGCCCTCCCTTAAGTTGCGCGGCAAGATCAAGGCGCTGCGCCAAACGAAGGTTCGCCTGCTGCAGCTCCTGCCGGCTGAAACGCAAAATGCTAGGGACGTCGACCCGCATGCCGTTGGCGTGTCTTGCCCTAGTTAAGTTATGGCTAGATACTCAGCATGAGCCCATAACTGGAATTGCCCGGTTCCGCCTACCATACCCATCCCTACCCCACTTGTCATTGTGTGGGGCTTGCCTGGCCCAGATTCATTGCCTGACATCTTTGATTGTGCCAGCTTTACCTTGTTGTGTAAGGCTGTGTTCGTGCATGCGATTTTTGTAGTGCCCGTCCTGCTCACACAATCTCTGTAGCAGTTTCTGTGATCGTTGTTGGACAGAACGCATGTTGACCGAGGCCATCTAAACCTTGGCAGTCGTCCTGCATCTCGGAAAAGAGTCTGTCCACTGTCAGCAGCAGCTCTCGGCCCTCTCTTCGAATCTCGTCGACTTCTACCTCCACATGTCGAAAAGGTTCTGCACTTTCTTACAATCATGCAGTGGCACAAGCGGTTTCACTGCATACAACATGGTGTCTCAAGTGGCACAAGCGGTTTCACTGCATACAACATGGTGTCTCAAGTGGCAAAAGCGGTTTCACTGCATACAACATGGTGTCTCAATTTGTTCACATGGATGCAATGTGCACCAAGCCCCATCTTCAGACTTCAGGCCTGCAGTCCGGCCATTGCCTGCTCGCTTCCTCCTCGATTGACCCCACTTTCGACAAAGGGTCATAGCGTCATAGCATGCCACCGTGCAAATGTCTAAAACGATTTTGGTCCTGCAGGTTCGGAGCGGGCATGGGCCGGGCTCTGACGCTCAACCGCAACCTGAACTGCCTGCAGGACAGATGGATCGAAGACATCGGCAGGTCCAATTCAGATGGCAGTTTCAGTTGCGAAGACGTGCCGACGTACTGCAGATAACCCTGTGCGGTACAGCTGCACGGGCCTGCTCCAAGTTGCCCTTCTCAAGGGCAACCTCCAGAATATTGCGAAGCCGTCCACGCAGGCATTCCAGTTCCGACGCTGCCTGTACAGCGAGCAGCGGTGCAGAAGCTGCTAGCGGCTAATGGGCGGCCCCAACACAGCACATGAGCCTGCTCCATCCCGGGAGGTTGCTCGGCAACCTGCGAAGGACATGAAACCCACAGTTCGGATCACTGCAAAGCTCCCTCTTTTGCCGCCTCGTCTGTTGACAGCTCTTCATTCGTTGCTGTGGCCTCAGCAGCGGTAGTCAGATCATGTACAAGATTCTAAAATAAATGCTCATTCTTGCGCTTCTTCACAAGTCTTCGTCGGGAAACACGCAAAGCAAGGCACTCGGACGTGATTTTGAGCAGTGATCCGCCTGTTGGTCTCGAACGCATGTAATTGACATATTCACAAGACGCGACTCTGAGCAGGAGTTCCACTCAACGGCGCCTAGGGGGATCCAGCTAGCAGGCTGCAATTGGACAGTGAAGCCCCTTACGCGAAGTTTTGGTCTCACCTCACGCCAATGCGCGTAGGGCTGCCGTCGACAAGCCGAGATTCACTTCCGTCTCTGCGGTTGTGGCGCTTCACATCCAGTCGCAAGCACCTGTCCTTGCAGGATACTGGTCTGCACTACTAAGTCTGCCGTGAATTGTGCCGGTGGGTCCGTCGATTTCGCACGCCTGCACTGGTCTGGCTCTGGGCAAAACATCGCAAAGCACACCATGTTTGTGTAAAGGAACTCTAGCCATCTCCGTCTGGCAGCCCAGCGCCTCTCAAAGTGCAGACGTCTTATGTGCACGTTCAACGGGAAACTCTGAAATGCAGTTTGAGTTAGCAGGCAGCGCTTCGCCTCGGGGAAACTGCAAAATGACAGTGCAGTCCATTCATGTCTATTCGAACGTGGCCCTACATGTTCATTGCACAGGCTTAGCGCGGCTATTGTGCAGCATCTCATGGTAGGATGGATTCGGAATTTCAGCGAAAGGCTGCGCACATGGGCTGCTTTCAGACCTGGAGGTTCGTCGATTCCCGAAGCAACAACTTCCACTGTCCAATGACTGTCCAACTTTGGCCAAAACTGTCGTAGGTCTGAAAACAGGCCGCGCAGCCGCTCGTAATCGTTTGTCTAGCATTTCCCATGTAGCATGATGGAGTAGGGTAGAGTTCAAACAGCACGGCTTCCATCCTACAGAGAGCTGGCGCCCCAACTCTGCACGTTCTCCGAGAAAGCGAAAAACGAACAAGCTCCAAGTCCACACCAAAGCAATGTGAGTCAGAGTCGGGGCATGCATAAGCACAGGAACAAGGGCAGCACGCTCAGAAGTGCTGAACAGTGCATAGCAAGCTTACATGACCTCCACGCATCAGATGAAGTTGTTCTTCAAGCTCGGTGTCCTAGTACTCTTGGCTTTGGTTGGCGTCATGACCTTTGGGTTTTTGAGCTCTGCCTCACCCGGTTGCGTTTGCTCTGGAAAGTCGTACGGTCGGGTCAACTCGAGTCGCGTCATGCCCTTCCAGGACTGAGTCTCATCAGCTCCAAAGAGGGTTATGACCACATCTTTGCCGCTTGGGTCGATCTTGTACTTGCAACGATCCATGGCAAGGCAACCCGGAAGAGTGTTGGAGTGGGCTGTCCATGCATAGCCTTCGAAGTCGAGAGCTCGGATTGAAAAGCTCATAGGTAAGAAGTCCACCTGGACATCGCGGAAGGCTGTTCCCAAGGGGCTGAAGTGCTGCGGTGTAATGCGAAGACGCACACGTCCCACATCCTTCGGCGAGGTCTTCTTGCAATCATCACTGGCCACACTGCTTGCGCCACTCCGGGGCTTTGAGTCAACCTTCTTCACGCTGATCATGTCTGTGTCTTTCATCATGAAACTCAGCTTGGTTTTGTCTGTCTTGTCTGTCTTGTCCATCGTCTCGATCTTCTCTTCACCGGAGCCAAGGCTCTCATAGCGCTTCTCATGGAGCTTTTCTTGCTTGCCATAGAGGCAGCAGCTGGCTCGTGTCACAAGCCCTGGGCTAACCGGGGAGCATGGAATCGAGCTTCGTGAACCTCTTTTCGTCTTGATACTGCGTTTCCACTGTTTCGACTCCGAAGTTGAGCCTTCACTCTGTCTGTCACTTGTCACACTTTGCATTTCAATGTCTGCTGTTCCGGCTGTCCCTGCATCTGTGGATACAGGCGACATAATCTCGATGGATTGACTGCCATGTCCAACCTGCTCATTTTGCTCTGGGTTCTTGCGGTCTATGCTCGTAAGCAGCTGCAAGAACTCATGATGTGACTGCTCCAGCACTGCCTTCGCAGTGCTGTAGATGTGATTGGCAACCTCTCGTGCCTGAGTGAAATCTTGACTTGAAGGTTTGGCACCTGGCCTGGCGTGCTGGTCTTCCATCTGCCCTGAGCTCTGAGTTTGAAAGGATTCCTCCATGGTCGCCTCCTCCTGATTCGATTGATTCTTTGCCGGGAGCAGCGAGCCGTGCTCAAAGTCAGAACTGTCCGCTTTCGATTCAACTTCGCCTGCACCAAGGCAACAAGCAACAAGAATCGACGCCATAAACGTAATTCCCACGGAGCTGATTCTCTGCAAACAAGTTCGACACCAGAGACGCTGCATCACTCTCGTTTGCCAAGTACAACGATATGGCGAAGCTGAGGACGGCGGGCTCAGTGGGTTGCACTCAAGTTTGCAAACATTCGTCTATGATGCCAGGCTACCTTCCCAGACACTCAGCACAATTCTACGGCGACGATTGTCATGGCGATAATGATGACAATGGTGGTGATGATGATGGTGGTGGTGATGGT